ATTTTGATCGAAAAAAGTTTTATTTTGATTAGATTTAAATGATTTTGTGTTATTTAGATAAAATCCAAGTAATTTGTTTTAGTGTAAGTATGCAATAATTAATTTTTTTTATCAAATTTGAAAATTATTTACATAAAAATTAAAGAAGTAGGAGTTTTTCATTTTTTATTTTAGCCAAATGGTGTTTGCATGGCAAATGATATTTTTTTTTTGATACATCTGATTATAAAATATATAAGAGAAGATAATCTTCTTTTATTTTTAAATTATTTTTCATCCAATTTAAAATTTGAACTTAAAATCTCTAATTTATAATTTAAGTCTTTAATCGTTTACTCACCCTATTGGGATTACGTAATGGATAATATGGTGCAATATAAGTGTTGATAAAGATTTTCATCACGTTAACTAACAATAATGTCTGCAAAACCCCACAGATTGCCATTCAACTTTTTGAGTGTGTGAAATTTTATCCCTTATCTTCTAATATGTAATTTTTATACCTTCATAGTATTCAAGTTTATGATAATGAAGCAATATTTAACGTTGTAAGGTCACATGCAACCCTTGACAAGTTGTAAGATGAATGGTAAAATTTCACACACTCAAATACCAATATAACATCATATATTGTAAAGTGAAGGTTAAAGTTTTACATATTAAAAAATTGAAGGGTAATCTGTGGGCTTTTGTACAATAATGTCTTAGGGCAAAGTAACTTGATATAATTTTGGAAGTTAATTAATTATTTAGAAAGTAAATATTTTAGACAAAATTAATAAAAAAAATATACAATTAATAAATAAGTTGTTAAATTAAATAAAAAATATCTTGTCTTTTGTCTTTTTTATCCATACCCTTTTATTTACCCTATTAAACTAAATATACTTTAGAGTCTAACTTCTAACTTTAAAATTTTTTTTTTTTTTATCAAGTTTACAAGGTTGGGAATCGAACCCACCATAGAGGAAAGGGGAAATGCACTGCAAGGTAACCCTAAGGCCGCTTGGCCCGAAGGGCCAAGTGCAACTTCTAACTTTAAAATTAATGAAACGTTGAAGATATATTTTCATTGTTAACAAAAAATTATATATATAAAGTAGCGATTTATTTATGTCTAAATTTTATATACTATAT